TATTATTTTACTTATTGTGATTGCCTGAGGCTTCACGTGCTTGCCAGGGAAGAGGGAAGAGAGAAAGAGAAAGCAACCATCAGTGGGGCATGGTTATGTCACAATCCTTTTTCCTCCATTTCTCCATCCCATCAGGATTTTAAGCATGCATGTACATGTGCCCCATCATTTTCTTTTTAAGGTTTATGTCATAAGGTATGTGTATTCGCTGGAGGTAGATGGAGAGAGATAGAGACAGGGAAGGTGAGAAATCCTCCAACACCAAGGGGGATAGCCATGCCACAGTCCATTCTCCTCCAGTCTCCTCTTGGGATTTTGGCACACATCCACATGTGCCTGTCATGATTTCCAAGCTGCCAGATCTGGGACTTGAACTGCAGTTGGCCATGTGGGAATCCAGTGCCTTAACTACTACACCACCTATCCCCTCCCCCATCATATTTTTCAAGTTGTTGAGGCTGAGATTCAAACCACAGTTGGCTATGAGAGATCTGACTCCATATGTTAATAGAGGGAAGAGCCAACTAGTGGTATGGTAGGTAAGGCAGCTGGATCCCACATGGCTGACTGTGCTGTTAAGAGTCCTGGACCCAGAGTCCAAAACCATACCAGGTACATTTGGATCATGCCCAGAATCCTGAAAGGAGAAGTGGAGAAGGAATTGAAGTGACCATCCCCCATGGGGGGTGCTTTCTTCCTCTCTTGCAGGCTCATGCACCCTGTAGCAAAATTAAAAATAATATTAAAGATAAATAAAGAGAAAATATGGCCATCTACCGGCCAAGGAGACAGGCCTCAGAAGGAACCAATCCTGCCATTGTCTTGATCTCGGACTCCTTGACTCCAGACTGGGAGAAAATAAGTTTCTGTTGTTTAAGCCACAGGAGCAGTGGTCATTTGATATGGCAACCTTAGTAAACTAATGTACCTGATGTGTTTTATTCACTGGGGTCATTAGTCCTACAACTAGAGACTTCATTCTTGGAAAAAAAGATAGACCTAATGATCTAATAGTTCCTCTCATCGCATCTCGAATTTCATTGAAGTATTTGAAATTTGCTCTAGGAAAGGCAGACCATCCTTACTTTTTTCTTACTAGATCACGTTTATGATTGGCTACTCAAAGAATGCTTTTCCCCCTTTTTCTTTATCCATTTTTCTTAAAAATACAAACAAAGCAGGAAACCATTAAACATGGTGACTCCCCATGTATTTCATTGATTTAAGCAGGTAATGAGTTGAATGTTTTCCATGCTCTCATTTCAATAGAGGGTAGCAAGTTCTTCTTACAGTGGATTACATGTCAACTGCAGCATCAGAATTTCAGAGAAGGTATTTGCTGCTGTGAATTTATGTGCTTTATATCAATATTCTGGAGATTCTGGCTGTGGAAAGAAAATACACTGAATCACTAAGGTTGGCATATTCAGATGTTCCTAATCGTATTTCAGGTAGTCTTGTTGTCAACCTCAAAATGCTTCCATCCTCTCCCTCCTACTCCTTACCCAGTCTTCTGTCCAATATATATATATATATATACACACACACACACACACACACATATGTGTATATATATATATATATATTTATATACATAATGTTGAACTAGAAGAATTAAGTATATTGAGTGGTTAGAGACTGTTGAAAATGCCAATGGATTTTATTTATCACCTGTTCAGATTGGTCATCTGAATGCTTTCCTGTAATGTATCATAAACATCTTAAGTGGGCAAGTCTATTCTGTTTCATAATCCAGAAAGAGATCCTAAAATCTTTTGCTACTAACCAGCAGATAATCTTCTAGATCTACTCTGGACATTTTATACTACGATTTTGAACTTGTCTCATCTTGTTCTGGCATGCAGATGGTGAGGATAACTAGTCACCACATATAATAGCACCTTTTCTTGAGACATAAGACATTATTAAATTGCATTTCTGCCTTCTCTTGCCCAAATTGATCTTTATTGGTTCTTCAGCCTTGCAGGACTTATTTAAAATGTTTAATTGCATATAAGACTTGTCATTAAAGCCTCTCCATGTTTTTCACAGCTCTCTTTGATGGTGAATGTAGCACTGGTTGAGTGTCGTCAGCACAAGAAAATACAGTTCCTATACTGTGTATTGTAAATATAAATGGTAGGCATTTGGGTTTCATGCTTTTTTATTTATTTATTTATTTATTTATTTATTTTTTGAGAGAGATTTTTGCTATAGGGTGTGTGCGCAGGAAGATAGAGACAGAGAGACAAAAAGTGAGAAATCACCCCCCAGGGGGGATGGCCATGCCACAATCCCTTCTCCTCCATTCTCCTCTCTGGATCTTGGGCATGCACGCACGTGCGCCTGGCATGAGTTTAATCCGCCAGGTCTGGGACTCAAACTGTGGTCGACTACATGGAAGTTCAGCGACATAGCCATTACGCCAACTGCTGTTGCCTCATGCTTAATTCTTATTTTTTACTTAGCTGATCAAAATGTATAGCAGTTAATAAAAAAAAGGTTATATGTATTTTTCTTTCTTTTCTTTTTTTTCTCCTCTTTTTGCCATAGGGTGCATGTACTGCCTGGAGAGAGACAGAGAGCGACACCGAGAGAGAAAGTGAAAAATCACCCCTAAGAGGGGATGGCCATGCCACAATCTGTTCTCCTCCATTCTCCTTGGGATGTTGGGCATGCATGCACATGTGCCTACTGTGATTTTCAAGCCACCAGATATGGGGCTTGAACCACAGTTTGCCACGTGGTAATCTGGTGCCTTAGCCACTATGCTACCTGCTGACTTCAAAATTGTATGTTTTTTTTTCCCTCCATGACAAAAGGTATGCGATTAAAGCAGATAAGTTGCAGATAACCTTTTGATTTCAATAACCTGACTTCATATACACTGATACTCAGATTCAACAAGATTAGAAATAATACTTCATAGATTAGAACTCAGATAAAGAATTTCTTGTATTTATCTTGTAGTTTTAGCTTTTCTTTTAATTAATTAGATGGATGAAGTAATTTAACTTCTTTCTGTATCTCTTTATTTACTTGTGAAACTAGGGAAGGAGATCACAAATTGACCTCTAAATTGTCTTCCAGCCCAGAAATTAAGCAGCTTATTCTACTAGTAGTAACAACAGTTGATAAATTGTGGCTTTTTGTGGGTAAGTGTATTTGGAGCTAGTATGTTTAATTTGAAACACATACGTACTATGTGCCAGGCACTGGCTGTGCAGTGAGAGAGCAGACGTCTCTCAGAGAGTTTACCGAATTTCATGAGGGAGAAAGAGGGATGTGAAAATAAGACCAGGTGACTGTTCCTGGGGCTGTGGTAGAAGTTTGTGTAAGGCTTTTCAGGGCACTGTGGAGAGTGCAATGAGTTTGGTGGCAGGAGCATCGATGAAAAGGACCAGTTCTGAGTGCCAGGAGGGGGCAGTTACAGTGAAGTGCTGGAGCAGCAGCTTGTTGTAGTGGCTTGAGGATGAGGCGTGAAAACAGTGGCTCATTTTTCCCCCAAGGAGCTGGAATATAAATAGAAAATGGCTGGAGGGGAAGAGTGGGTGTTATAAGAGGTTGTACTTAAATATTGGGAGTAGTCACTGGACTCCCACATGGTCAACTGTGGTTCAGGTCCAGGACCCGGTGACTTGAAACTCACACCGGAAACATGTGCACATGTACCCAGAATCCCAGGAGGAGGATGGAGGAGAAGGGGTTGCAACATGGCACCCTTTGATGGGGGTGAGTTCTCACTTTCCCTCACTGTCTCTGTCTCTCTTTCTCTCCAGTGAGCACACAAGCTCTAAGGCAGAAACCTTTAAAAAAAGTGTGTACAGGGGAAGAGCCAATGTAAGGGTTTTTGTGAAAAGAACCTTTAGAGAGGGAAAGCTTGTTCTTAAGGAGATGAGGATGTAACCAATAACAAACTTAAGAACAAGGTTGAGGATGGATGGAGGGCAGGTAGAGGGATAGTTTTGAGATAACGCAAGAATAGCAAAATGCTAATTGTGACATTTATCTATCATGGGTCTTCACTAGGGGAGCCCTAGTTTAATTTCTTCAACTTTTGAGTGTTGAATTTTATAATATAGGTTGAATATCTCTTATCTGAAACGCTTGGGACCAGAAAGAAGTGTTTTAGATCTCAGTTTTTAAGATTTTGGTTTATTTGCAGCTACATAATGAGATATCTTGGAATGGGACCAAGTCTAAACATGAAATTTATTCGTTTTATATAAACCTCATCCACATATCTGGAGATAATTATTTTATACAGTATTTTTGTATTGCAGCATATTGACTGTGATATGAAATTGGGTGTGGAATGTTTCACTTATGGCATCATTCTGTTATTTGAAAAGTTTTGGATTTGGGTGCCTTTTAGATTTTGGCTTTTTGGATTAGGGACACTCAACCTGTACTGGGAAATAATTTTATACTATGGGGAAGAGAATATAGGCTGAGAGTTTAGCCTTGAAAAGACCCAGGGGTGGGTGCACTTATTCCTTGTTGTAAGAGATTATGAAAGGTTAAAGCTTCGACTTCTTTTGTAATGTAGGAGTTCCACCAATCTGCTGGAGCAGAGGGCCAGAGGAAGAGGAGCGTTGAGAATAAAGAATGGATTAACCACTGTGTGGCAGAGGGAGCTAGATTGAGCAGGCCTGGGTTAAGGAAGGCATGGGGATGCTTGGGGCCCAGTGAAGTTGTCAGGTGGTGCCAATTTTTCTTGGAGTTATCAAGGAGAAAGCAACCTAGTCGGAGCATGGAAAGGCTGAAAGCTTGATCATGGAAAAGTAGGTTGAGTAAATGAGGTGAATGATCTCTTCACTTTTTACCTAGAGCAAGTCTGTTCTGGAACAAGTCCCAACCAGTAGGTCTCTGTTTGGGGAATTCTGTTTTCTGTCTAGTTGTCTCTTTACCTGAATTATAGAAGAGAAAACAATGTTACAGAACCTCACTAACACCATTATTCTTGAAACCTAATAAAGATAATTTTGTTGTTTTCTCAGGTCAAAGAAGAACGTCCAGAAAAAATACCAGACTTAAAATTACTGGTGGAGAAGAAATTTATGGCTTTACAGAATAAGAATTCTGATGCAGACTTTCAAAATAATGAAAAATTTGTACAATTTAAACAACAGCTGAAAGACCTGAAGAAGCAGTGTAAGTCAGCACGCTTTGCTTTGGTTTGGCTTTTTGAAGTTAGGCAATGGACTTGATGAGCCGTCCCAGAATACTGATCGTAATACTGTTTGCTTCTCTGCTTGGCTTGATCCTCGTTCTAAGTTGCTTTTGTTGTTGCAGTTCTGTATTTTGTCTTGCTTTTGGTTCACATCAGCCCGTTGTCTCTGAAAGCCAACAGTTTCCACAAAGTGAGAAAATTCCCCAGCAGCTATTGAAAGGTCCAGATACTGTCTTCCTGCTGGGGAGAGGAATTGGGAAACAAAATAAAACTGAAAACTATCTTATAGAAGTAACAATGGTGTTTTCCAAATTTTAAACTGCTGTGCCCAGCTTCAGAATAACCATACTTGGATTCTAGTTTTGCTCTTTTAGGTTAACATTAGTGATACTTTCCTCAGAAGGCTTTTTTTCCTTTTCAAATATGAATCAAAATCCCCTTGACCTGCTTTTTGTTTGTGGTAGTATAAATTCCACGTGGTTTTTAAATTAGCTGCATTCTTTATCAACTTTAACACTTAGGTTTGTTTTTTGTTTTGTCAGAGGATTTGTGTGTTTGCCATAGGCAGAGGGGGAGAAAGAGAGAGCACCCCCCAACCCTAGTGAGGGATGGTCATGCTGAAATTCCTGTCCATTTCTTAATCCCTGTCAGTACCTGGGAGACACATACATGGCATGTTTTGCAAGCTGCTCGGACTGGGATTCGAAATGTGTAGTCAGCCATGTGTGATTCAGCTCCCTCAACCCCTAGGCCATGGGTCTGGCTTTATACTTTATTTTATTTATTTATTTTATTTATTTATATATATTTTTTGGAGAGGTTTTTGCTATAGGGCGTGTGTGCTTGCCAGACAGACAGAGAGAGACAGAGAGACAGAAAGCAAGAAATCACCCCCAGGAGGGATGGCCACTCCACAATCCCTTCTCCTCCATTCTCCTCTCGAGATCTTGGGCACACATGCACACGTGCCCAGCATGAGTTTTAAGCCACCGGGTCCGGGACGCGAACCGCGGTTGACTACATGGGAGTCCAGCGACATAGCCATTCTTCTAACTGCTGGTCCCTATACTTTAGTTTATTAAGAAGCATAATTTTGGTTTAAAAATGAGAATGTTGGACTGATTCTGTAGCCTGGTGGTTAAGTGCTTTCTCTTCTCCCTCTCTCTGTCTCTGTCTCTCTTTCTGGCGAGCGCATGTGCCCTCTAGCAAAGAAAAAAAAGAAAGAAAAATAAGAGTGTTAAAATGATTTGTTACACAAAAATTTTTGAGGACATCACTTAGTAGAAATATTTTCCATACAATAAAATAGGTGTGCCCTTATCTTTTCTCATTTTTTATGTGATCTACTTAATAATTTTATGTAAGTTGATTTTTTTACATTAGCATCTGTTTAACTCTGTAGTCTACCCTTTCAGGATCAATGTTTCATTCCTTAAAAAATTGAATATTGAAACAAATAACTTTGTATTTTTAATTTTACTCCCCTGTCGCCTTCATTTATACACACAGGGAGCAGAAATGTATGATATGAGACAAAGTTACTTCATGTCCTTCAGGTTCTTATTGTGGAGATTCATGTTTTGAAATAGGCTTTCTTTTAAATATAAGCATTTTCTTTAAAATTGATGCTGAGATCTCAAAAATGAGTGAGGAAGCTGCTTGACTTTTGTCTATTTTACAAATAACTTGAGTTTCACAATTTGAAATGTTTTGCAATCACGATGAGACTTTTGGTTTTACAGTAGATTTAAACAGTAAGCATTTTTCCCATAGTTCTAGTCTATTCTTTCTACTCAACAACTGTGATGGTCAACATTACAGCAACCAAAATCTTTCTAATGTAATTTGTATTCTTCTTCTGACCTGATAATAATCCCCCAAACAAATAATAATTTACTAGTGACTTTCTGATTTTAGATGCTAGTGCCAGCCTCAGTGGCACAGAATATAGTATACTAGACTGTAGTGCTGAAAGCCACACGGCTATCCTCAGGTTCGAATCCCCAGGTCAGCCTGGAAACACTTGGTATATGCTCAGGTGCCCCAAATCCCGAGAGCTAGAGGGCTGGGGAAAGCGGGTCGTAGCATGATAAGACCCTGTGAAGGGGCCTCTGTCTGTTTCTCTTGTGTGTGCATGCTTGTGCTATTATTTTTTAAAAAACGAAATAGTGAAATTTAGTTTTGATATTAGTTGAAATAATCATTTTTTTAAAATGTACTACATGGAGTCAATACTCCCAAATTATAACAGTCTTGGCATCCAATCCTGATTTTTAAAAAAGCTTATTTATCTATTTTTCCCATGAACGGGAGACTCTGTCTCTCCCTTACCCCCTTTCTTTCTCTCTGACAGTAACCCCGACAAGGTGTTGACACTTCGATCCACCCCCAACTTTAGCCATGGGCATACTTGTGTTGGACATACTCAGGGAGGTCTCTGGATATGAACCCAGAACCTTCCCACATGACTCAGCCTTGCATAATACTGGGCCATCTGGAAAGTCACTTTTGCACAGAAAAACCTAGAAAAAAGTCATGACTTTCCCGACAGCTTAATATCTCATGCTGTGCCACTGTCTGACTCCTATAATTCTTGATTTCTAAGGTTTTGAAGGAGAAATCATCTAAAAATATAAATTTCTTCTTGCTTTTATTGTTTACATTTCTCCATAAGAGAAATGATAAAGACTTTTAGAATCAGGTACTCATGGGGTCACTTTATAATTAAGAACATATAATTCAACAAAATGTGAAATGTTGGAATCACAGTTACTGTTTTTTCAAGTCTTCTAAAATGGAAAAAGAAAGAACAGGTTTCCCCAGGCCAACAGTACACGTCATTTGGACAGACAGTTAAACCTTATGACAAAGTCAATTTATATTGAAAGAAATACTTCCTTATGTAAGGTTTTCCTGTATAACATTGGAATTCAAACAACTTTCCCTTTTATTTCCCCTAAAATATTCTGTTAAAAGTTCTTAAATCTCAAATAACAGGACAAGCAAATATGTATACTTTTTAACAATGCTTTATTAGCTATGTATACCTTACTAGCAAAATGTAATTTTTAGTGCAATATTCTTAGCATTGTCAGTTAAACTTACACTATGTCTAGTGGATGTTATTTCTTTATATTTAATACTTCCGTGAGGGTTCCGATTAGGATTTGGCTCCCACAGTATTTGCTGAGCTGGTCAGAGATATACTGTGATTGATGAGTGACCCAATAAATACATATTCTGGAGGCAAGGCATTACAATACTAACTTCTAAGACTGGGAAAAGAAGCTGGGAGAGATACTTGCTTCTAGATACTTCTAGATACTTGCCTATTTAGGCAAAGTAAATGCTGAGGCGTGTTTACGGTCTGCATATATCTGATGGGTTCTTTCATGGAGATAACCACCATATTTTTACCAACTTTATAATGTGAAAACATAAATGCGTGAACTTACATTTCCTCTAATCAGAATCTAATCAAAAAAGTGCCAGGAAGCTCTTAGGTAGGGAGAGGTCGAGGTATAGATTGAGCTCAGGTGGTCTGCCAGGTGGTTCTGTCTGGCGGGCAGGCCTGGGTACGCTCTGCCGGCAGGAGCCGCTCAAGCCAGCTGTAGCCCAGCAGCTGGTTCTGAAACCTTCCCTTATCCTGCCCCCTCTGTGAACATTTTGTTTATTCAGGTTTTATCTATTGACATTTGTCACATTAGAAATCCAAACTGAGGGATTTAGAAAATATTAATCTATTAAAAGATAATAAGTCTAGGGCTAGCCGGTGACATGCGGGTTAAGGCAGTGGATCCTACGTGGCTGACTGTGGGTTTCGAGGTCCTGATCTGGCCATTTGAAAAGCATGTCGGTCGCGTGTGTGTGCCCAAAATCCCGAGAGGAAACTGGCGAAGAGATTGCAGTGTCACCAGACCCCTGGAAATTGATTTCTCGCTTTCCTTTTCTCTTTCTCTATTTAGTGAGTGCACATGCCATATAGCAAAAACTTAATAATTTAAAAATTGTATTACACATTAGTGTAAATAGCATTGGATATGAACTACAACTATATTATTTTACAAGGAAAATGATTAAGAAGAGTGGCATTGGTTTTTTTTTTTTTTTTTTTTGGGAGAGATTTTCACTGTAGGGCGCGTGCGCTCGCCAGACAGACAGAGAGAGACATAGAGACAGAAAGCGAGAAATCACCCCCCAGGGGGGATGGTCACGCCGCAATCCCTTCTCCTCCATTCTCCTCTTGGGATCTTGGGCACGCACGCACACGCGCCCGGCATGAGTTTTAAGCCACCGGGTCCAGGACACGAACCGCGGTCGACTACGTGGGAGTCCAGCGACATAGCCATTACGCTAACTGCTGGTTCCCAAGAGTGGCATTGTTTTACATTACTTCAAATCTCCTTATTTTCTGACTTAACAGAAGGCTGCTGTTTCACATTTGCTTTAGTATTTGGTCTGTTTTAATACATTGTTTTGGTTAACATGTACAGAGAAAATCTGTTCTCACATATTGGTAATGGGACTTGCTGAAAGGGTCTGTAGACCATCAGAAGTTCTCACTTTGAGAATCCCAGGTTTAGACCAGGGATAAGTAAACTACAACTTATAGACTAGTCCACAGCCTACCTCTTGTTTTTCTATTGCTTGCAAGCTAAGAATCATTTATAAATATTTTTAAATTGTTGGTGGAAAAAAATCAAAAGAGAAATACTAGTTTGTGACATGCGAAAATTATATAAAAATCTGATTTCAGTGTCCATAAATCATTTGACTGGAACACAGCCACACTAGTTCACTTATGCTTGTCCATGGGTGCTTTGGCACGGTGATGGAGGAACAGAGTGGTCACGTCACACACTATCTGGCCTGCAAAGTTTCTAACAGTTACTACCTGGGCTTTTACAGCAGCAGTCACTGACCCCAGATCTAAACCATATTCAGAAACAAGGATATATATATATATTTTTTTTTTTTTTTT